AGATCGAGTTACTTTATTGAAGTATTCCTGGGCCGGGTCGACTGTAGTCACTATCAGCGCTATCATCGTCGCTGCCGACTAACCAACTAACCTTTCTGTTAGCGTGCGCGTAAGCTTCTAATAAGCACCCGATCGGGAATTAGTCTCGATCTACGACCGTTCTGGGCCCTTGCACGCTTCTGACAGCGGCCTATGCTTTTGCTGCAAAGCAAAGCTTAGTTCGTACCAAGACGCCCTACTTCGCCACTCGAGTAAGCTATAAAATCGTCTATTAACGCTTAGTAGCTAGCCTAGTTGGGTGGCTATTGTGCAAAATTGGCCGCTTTCGCCAAGTGAGACCCTTCTAACTAAATATGCCACCGGGGGCTGGGCGTCGTCTACCCAACTGATGTGGCTAGAGCCACGGTTAATGTCAGAGTGGTCAGTTGGGAAGAAACGCATTTAATCTTTTGCCTTTTGTCAGTCTTCTTTTTTTTTGTTTTTCCGCTTGTCAACACTTTGTTCAGTAGCTGCTTCCTTCCCTCCTAGATAGCCAGTTGTTTGCTCGTGCAGCAACTCCTGGCCGCTTGGTAGGCAAGTGTAGTGAGTCGCACAACTAGCACAAGGAGAATAAGAAGGACTTGTTGGGAACAAGTGATCACATAGTAACAGGGACTGGCAGGGATCATGAGTGTTCCTTCTTTCTGCTACGTTTTTCGTAGGGGTGATACTACGGCTAAGTCTACGGCCGGTCAAGCGCCGGCTGCCCGATTCGTTCGGGAGGCCAAGTCAAAGGTGGCAAGCGAACGAGCAAATCAGATGGAGAAGCCAGTAAGAGGTCAGCTAACCAGCTCTCCTGGGGAATAGGCTTTGCTAAGAGAGTTTCATGCCAATTCTAGCTTAGTAATTTCTACCGCGGCGGTTCCCGCAGCTACATCGGTAAGGGCGGAGCTGCACAGGGTATGGCTGCTGAATGCACTCAGGGTTGATGTCGGCAAGTAACCCCTCACTTCATCTGTCTTTAGCTGTTCTTTGCCCCCTGGAGAACGGATCCAGCATTTTGTCCCTCTTTCTCAACCTCTTGTAGGCTATCTCGCCTTCTCTCTGTTGTGGATGCGTGCGTGTATCTATCTACCCTTTTTTTGCTACACACCAATCCAAGCCAGCCCATGAAGGGCTGAGCTTGCCGGGATAAAGCTGACCGATAATAGCTAGTCTGCACCCTTTTGAGCCACTGATATTTTTATACGAGAAAGTGGAGTACGTGTAGTATAATGCAATAATTTCAGAGAAGATTTCCGCTCTTAATCGACAATTCCGGCTCGGATTTTCAGAGTTGCAATGGCCTGGCTTCTACTGGATTGGAAGCCTGGACCAATTCTATTTTAACGTTGGCTTTCAATACTGAGATATGCATATACCGAAGTGTGGTCCTAAATAGGCTAAAGGCCGAATTTGTTCGTTATTTGAGTCGGACGTGTTTGCTTATCTGATGCGCAAATGATGATGAGCAAACGAAACAATCACAAATCTTAACGTTCATATTCGCGAAGAAAATAATCTCCTAGTGAGATTTTTTGATTAGGCAGATATATATTACGCTGCTAGATGAGCACATTTATAATTATAAATAACAGTAAGTTCATATAGATGGAATGTTACCAATCCGTCTAACATAGTTGCCTCGTATTGGCTTTTCGTTAGCTAGTACTTGCCTTTGCGCTTCTGGTTTGCTCTGTTTCAATGAACAATATGATTCTTTCGCGATGAAATGCCATCATACACGATCGTCGAGATCCATATGGCATACCTCTATATGAGAATATCAGTAAGTGCACTCAAATGAGTGTATCGCGTACGTTTCAACAGTTACGACTGCCTCAGCACGTACCTGCCTCTATTTTTATCCCATAACAGTTACCACTGCGGATCTTTCTCAAGCTGCCTTTGCTTGCCGGCGGATTTGTTGGATAGCCTTTCGAGGGACTATTCCATTCTCCCCTGTCTCCTCGTTGCTGGGCTGTTCACCGAAACCAGTAACCACGAGTCACACAAGTAAAACCAGACGCCCAGACGATTGGATCAAGAGAGGGAATCGAAAAAGACCGGACGGGGCGTGGAAGGGGCGAAGGAGAGAATGTTTGAAGCAGGTAGGCAGGAACCGAATAGGGGACACAGCAATAATAAATAAAATATCCAATTGGGAACAATATACGACACTCGGATAGCTCGCGCAGGATGCGATCGGATCCGATCCGATCCGATCCGATGTCGCCTGTCCCTGGAGACTCCTTCATCGTTACACTTCGAGCATGGACGAGGACGAGAGAGTGGCAGAATCACATACATAAGCAACTACTTAACGTTACCAGAGTTGCTGAAGATGCCCCTGTTGCTGTTATTGCATAGCAACGCATTGACTTGTTATTGCACCGTATAGACAGCTGCGTTTTGTACAGTATCATTCAATCGCTGACCGCTGCTATCACTGGCAGTTAGTCTCCGATAGATCTGGTACCCAGATGCTAAAACGACACTAAGTGTTAGCATCGCAGCAGCGGCAGCTGTCGAAATACACCGTTTAGATAGAATAACTTCCTGCTTCCATTCTGTTACAGTCGGCCCTATTTTCTGTATAGTCGAAAGACTGTCACCTGGGTCAGTACTATAAAATAGTAGAATAGATAGAACGACGCCTACTTCGCCCAATCACAATCATTTATATGATGGATTATTTTTTGTTCTTCTCCGGTTGAACGTTAAATATGTTGGATATATTCCTATCAGTGACAAAAGTAATACGTCAGCTTAAGCTAGAAAAAGCGGACCTAGTTGAAGTCAAGCTACCCCTTATGTACACTCACACAACGTTCTCAACAGCTGTGTAGCTATATCCGATATCATTGCACACGACGAATATTTTATCAGGCAATTACCCGCGTTCAGGAGTGCTTTTCTGTCTACACGAAGTCTACTTTGCAGATCTATAGACTTGTCTCGGTTTAATCTGACCAACAGGGTAACACTAGAACAAGACTCAAACATGATATCACCAAGAATAGCACATCCAAGTAGGATCGCTCTATACTAAGTATAGCGATCAAGTAAGCCGTCGCTCCTCCGAAACAGAAAGGAAACCCCATAGACCGATTCCGTAGATTGTTCCTTGCTTCAGCCCCATCTCCTTCTTTTTCTCCTTTGGTTTATTATCCAGTTAGTCATCTTCTCGTCGTCGACTCATCAAGACACAGCCAATCGTGATCCGCTATCTTGGTCCATATGGGCCTAGGGGATACGCGGGGGAGTATTATGGTTAATTATTCGTCGTACCCTTGAGCTGCAACTCTCAGAATAGGCCCAGTGCTGCTAACTGCGCGCGTTGCCTGTTCTTCCTCCAGCCGATCGGTTTCTTGGTAAGCTGGCAAGCGGAAGCCGTCCACAGGATGAAAACAGTGCGCTGTATGATCCAATGATGGGAACTGAGGCAAGCAGAATAGTCAAGGTACCCTATCAAGAGCACCGATACCCGACTTCATCGGTCGTCTGAACTGAGTCCGTTCGAACAACTATACGGCCTGTACAGTGTCCATCCAGACCCTCGAGCTTCTGATTAGAAATCGAAGGAGTAAGGATTCTGAGTACTTCTTAGTCGCAAAGCAAGCACTCTACAACGCCGTTGTCTAACCCATTGCAAACTCGGTTTACATACGACCTTGGCTTGTTTAGGCCAGGGCTGGAAGCCTTCTATCTGCATTATTTTCGCACCGAGGATGGAAACCCTAGGGAGGGCAGCCGTGTGGTTAATGCACAGCCCGATTAAGCGACCCACGGTTGAAACGGAAAACGGTTAGATCGTTGTAATTGTTTCTGACGACTCTCTCTGTTCCGATCGGCCTTCACGGTACAAAATAATAAGGGTTAGGTTCAGTAGAATCAGAGCACTATACAGTGCGTTTTTCTCCGTACACGTACCAAAGCATACCGTATTACCTACAGTCTCTTGAACTGCTTTAGTGATCTGTTGGCTTTCTTCAGTTGACCACATCAAATGCTAAAGTGAACGTAGTAAGGTAAAAATATGAAAATAGCGTAGAAATACGAGCGTATATAATAAACATTGTATTAAGAGGAGCTCTAGATGTTTCACCCTTGACCGAACGATATATATTTAGTCGAACTTTGAAAAGAAACGAGATACCACATCGCCTGCGAACTGACAGATTTTTAGCGTGAAATACAAGAATCGAAACACGAAATCCAACATCAGTGATCTGAAAGGTGCTAAATCTCAAGATGGCTCAGGTTCATGCGCCACACTAACACCGTACCACGGGACGCTTTATAGAATTAACCGAATAGAAAGCCATTACATTATAAAGGAACCCTTTACACATTATACAGACCTTCATTTGAAAGACTAAACATATTCGCTACTTCCGCTACCGATAGAGGTGCAGCTTTAGTATATATATACATTGTACGCGGGCGAACGTTCATCTAGGGGAGAGGACTATGGGGTACGAATAACGTATTATACTCTATGGGCTTTCTTCCACAATGAGGCCGGGAACTGGTGACTGTCGTCTGGCTACAATAGTCCCGCCATTTGTGAACGTAGCACTTATACGGTGTACAATTGGCTTAAATACATATTTTTTCTATTATCTGCTATGGATTAATATAATCCTCCACTATTGATAGTTGCCATGTTGACAGAACAGTGCTTACAACACAAAGCAGGAGCAGTAAAAAATATCACCTACTTCTTTCTCTCGTGATTAAGTACATACTTAATGGTGCACATACACAAACAAGAAAGATTATCACAGTATAAAACGTGTTTGTACCGTAAACAAAAAAAAAAAAAAAAAAAACTGCCAAGTTTGTAGTGTTCCCGTCTGATTGATTTCTATTTCATAGAAAACTGCATATGAGATTAGTGCAAAGGTGATTGATTTCGATGTGGGTATGTTTAAATCATGGAAATATATTTTTTACAGTTGGCATACTGTTGAACTCACCCGAAAAAGGGCCACAATCCCTTGGCGAGAGTTGACCCTGGAGCCATGGATACCACGGTGTTGGTTTTCTTGGCTGTTGTTGAAGAAGACCCACCATTGTCGGAAAGAGGCTAGCTGCCTGAAGAGCCCCTGCGGCTTGGGGCCGAAGCGCCGCCAACTGAGCATCCCAGTAGAGTCGTGCCGCAGCCGCCTGCTGTTCGGGGTCGGCAGTTGCGCTTGCAGTTGCGCTGACTGCCGCCGCATTGAGAAATAGAGCAGCTGCTGCTGCAGCAGCCTGTTGCTGAGCAGCTACCGCGAGACTAGCACCGTCCGCTTTCGTCGGACTCGTCGACGACAGCAGTGAGCTAATGGAGAACGCCGAAGATTTTACTGGGGCCGGCGAGGGCTTCACCGAGTTCGAGTCGTCGTCGTCGTCAACGGTCACTTCCGGCTCTTCTGGCTCAGATGCCGCCGGCGACGGCGCCTCACTTTTGGTCTGCGGTGGGGCGCCGGCGGCAGTGGGGTTCGCGCCTGGATTCGTACCCATTAGCAGCATCTTCAGTACTAGTGTCGTCGCTATCGTTGCAACTGTAGTATCTTTCACTGTTTCTCTGGCCAATTGTTGATACTAATCAACCGATGCTGGCGTCAGAGGTGAAGCTAACATTTGCTAACTAACAAACCGTCGCGTATAAAACGTGCCAATTCTCGTGGGAGACAGTACAACCGGCAGCGGCAACGAAAAGCTTATGTCGTAAAGTTTACAGCAACAAAACTATGAAGACTGTCATCGATCCCAGCCTGTTGGCAGAAGAGACGATAAAAAAAAACTGTGCTTTACCTCTTTCACAATTTCACTGTTCCCCGCTGCCAGAGTCTTCAGCCCAAGTACGTGCTTGATCCAAATACGCGTATAACACCTGTTTAAAAATACGGTCGGCTGGTTATGCTGCTTAATCACTGCTCACAAAGGTTTCTTCCTAGTTGTTTGCCATTCATTGACGAGGAATAGCGACGAACGATAGACACTATGATCATTTCACAAAATCACATACTGCGCACTTTTTAATGTAGCTGTTGTTGATACAATCGATTAGCTCGATAAGTCATCATCGTCAGAGAATCAGTGTCACCGGCATTCTGGCACTTCACAATCAGACTAGATGCGTTAATACTCAATAGCAGTATCACTCGTCAGACAATAACAGTCCGATAGCTTTCTTCGACGGTCATCGATTACCGAAATGAAAACGAGTGGACATCAAAAGCTTGTCAGCTGATGATTTCCGGCAAGGTACGCACTACACGATATCGTTGCGGTTCAGCTTGCGGCTGTAGCTGCTTGGCGCGCGTGTGCTGCGACGCGAACCGGGTAGCACAGATCTGCCGCGATGCGAGCCGACGGAGGAATTCGTCGTGTTGAGGTTTCACTAACCATGCAACTATCTGTCGCTAGCGAAAGATATATACCTGCAGCCGTATTCAGCTCTATGTGACTATCGGTCTGTTCCCGTCGCCGACTCAAACTGACTCTGAGCGAACGGTTGGCGGCGACTGACACTAAGTGTTGTGCTGGTAGGGGGCTGCTCTCCCGAAGCGGCAGTTAGCAAGCGCAGGACCAACAGGACCGTGGCTAGGACGGTTGAAGACTAGGACATCATGAACAAGAGAGGCTCTAGGACTTGCTGCTGCTGTGAGCGCGGAGCGGCAGCAAGTGGAGAGTAGTAGCAGCAAAAGTACATGATCGCTGCAGCAGCTGCCGCCGCTGCTTCTGTCGCTTCGGCTGGCGCAGCAGCGGCGGCCACCGAGGCGGCGGCCAAGGTGCCAGCAAACTGGAGGAGTGCTACTTTCCGCTCAGCTCACCCAGACCCACACGCAGGCATTTACAGATACAGACGCACACAGCCGGCCCGTCACAACCACATGCATACAGACCATTACACAGCGGTCCGATGACCGGGAGTTTCGCCTTGGGTGGCGACAGGCGGACGCGCACACTCACGAAAGCGACCGGCGAACGAGAACAAGAGGGAGACAACCGAACGCAGGAAGTCGCACGCACAGACGGCCAAACGACCAAGCAAGCGGGGTTAGGGAACGAACGCTTTGAGTCCGCCGCCGCGGCCGCCGTCGCCGTCGCCGTCGTCGTTCAACTCAATTCCACCACGACTCCCACCACAGATAACGTTGTCGCTAGCGTCATGATCACTGACGCCATCATAGTACTACAAAATTGGCATTGCCATCAACCTGCTAGCCAAGAAAGAACCCGCTGCTTCTCTAACATAATAATAATCGAATCGAATAGCTCTGCTGCGGCCGCCGCTGCAGTTGAAGCGCTGACTATTTGACTGCAGCGCCGCGATCGGCTGCTTTCTGCTCGGCTGCTCCGTCGTTTCGGCTGCCCTGGAGAGCTCGATGGGCGGACGAACTCGCACCGCCACTTGCTCTCGATCTTTGGACCCGCCCCTTTTTGAGGGAGCAGGCTCCACCCACTCGAGAGTTCCTCGAGAACGGCCTCCACGGTGTCACCGCCGGCGGCGCGAATGCACACACACGCCCACACACGGACTCAGTTTCACACAGGCACTCACAGACCGCACGCATTAACTTATAAAGAAACAGCCACACTAGCAGGCTGAGGCAAACGGATAGGGAAGCAGCGCTTGCCAGCAGAGCAGCGGGCCAAAGCCAGGTCAGGCCAGAGGAGGCCAGTCATACACGCAGCGCATCTGCGTGGCGTCCCCTTCTACTTCCACTTCTAGTGGCGCCGCCACCATCGTGATCATCATCACTATCATCGCCGACCCACTCACTTTAGTACTACTTCTACCGAAGAAGGGCAAAACAAGAAGCAGGAGAAACGAGGCAGTCCGTCGCACACTCTGAAATCAACCTCCGCCTCTTTCATTCGTTTATCCTCTCCTTCTCGATCGTGCGTATCTGACGGCCATTATTCTCTTGGACTTGAAACTTACATCGGTAGCCACGGTGGCAGTGAGTCCGGGACGGTGGCTGTCCTCGCCTGCCGATATCATCAACACCATTGCGGACTGGACCACCAGGACCAGCGTCGACACAGCGAAGCGGGTACCGTCGAACAGTTGACGGCAAGGCCTTACCTCCATTGTCCCCCCCCCCCCCCCAAGGGATGCTGTGTTGCCCGTGGAGCAGCTGCAGGAATCGGAGGAGACAGAAGCAGAAGTCTTTTGAGCGACAGCGGACAGAGTGAGCAGAGTAAGGGGATCAAAAATAAGGGGGTGAAAAGAAAACTGAATGAGCGCTGGGTACATTGTATTGTACAACTATGACAAAGGAGAAAAGAAAAATAGAGGAAGATCTCAGAGAAGAGCGTTAGTGCCAACAAGCTCTTTCTGTCTCCGACTTCTTTCTGCTGCTTCATCTGTTGGCCAAATAGCTTTGTATGTGCGTCCCGAGTATGGCGAGAACAGCCAGCTTAAATTCGTTTTGCCCAGGGCATTGGACTATGGTGGCAATCAGAATGCACACTGTCGTGGTGATGCTTACCGGAGAAGTATATTATTATTGTTATTATAAGCGCACGGGAAGCGAATATGGCAACCTTAATAGTAGTCTGTGTTTTCCCTACCGCCTGCTGGCAGTGCTATAGCGGGAGCGCTCTCTATTCCTCGAGATCAGAGAGCTGCTCTTGCTGCTTCGGCCGCTTCATCGACTTCTGCTCTTTCAAGCTTACGCAGAGGCTACGATGGGTCATGCGAGTAGCTCAGGGCCTGCCCGCTGAACTGTTAGAAAGGGAGGGTAGCCCTTAGCAAAGGAGGAGGAGGAGGAGGAGGGGGAGGAGGAGGAGGATGGGGATGGGGTATAAAGTCGGGAAACGTCAGGGCTTTGGGGAGTTCCAGCTCGCTCAACTCTCGAAGGTCGTTAAAGGAACATTACACAAATGTCTCCCCCGTTGTTGTCACCAGCAGCGATAGCAGCTGCTGTCCGTGTGTTCACTATGCCTAGCCCCTTTGCTTGTATTCGAACCATCAAAGTTCGTGGGGAGAGACAACATACACACACACACAAGGCACTATGTTTGTGTGTGTTTGTCTGAGAGGATCGTTCTTTTGCAAAGAAGAACGCGCAAAGACTACAGTCGCTGGAACGGGTGGGGGCTAAGTCCTTTGCCCCTGTGGGTTGAGATGTCGCAAAAGAGATCACTATCAAGCAAACCCGCCCAGATGGGACGTATTTGCCCTGCGTCCGTGTGAACTCCAGCAGGAAAACAGACAGAAGCTAGCTGGAATGATGATCTGCCGCTTCGGCTACGCCGCACAAACAAGACTCATACACTAACACTGATGATACGAAGCAATGCCAATGTCTTTCTCTAGTTTTTGCCTGTCTGCACTGATTGTTAGTAGCTAACATCGTTGGAATATCGTATGTACACATCTCTGTGTGAACACAAAAGCGCCTTTGCGTGAGCACGCCAGCTATCGCCAATGTTCCATTTGCTGTATTCGTTTGGACTTTTTCCTCGATTTTTCCCCGCTGTCTATCGACGATGATGTCTTTTGTCTCCTCCATTTTATGCTCCATGTTCTTTTTGTTTGTCACGGCTCGACACCATTGTATTGCTACCCGATATAGCGTTGTTGCAGACGGCACCGTCAAGTAAGTAAGAATTGCGTTTTTGCCCCTAGTACAGTGCTAGTTGCAAAAGATCATTCGCTGTTTCCATCTTAGACACACTCACACACAAGTATATGTGTATTCATATGCTGTCCGTTAGAGTGTATACAGGACATAAGTTGTCGATGCTGGCGGCGTCTTACCGAGCGACTGATAGATGATCTCGATGGCCTGGTTACCCGGTCGGCTTCCTGCTCTCGCCTTTCGCCGCTTACTGCATCAGCACGAAACTACCTCGTTATCACGCTGTTTTGCTACGGCAGACACTCCCGCTGCCGATGGCTATCCTAAGAGAGTCGGGAAGAATCACTTCCCCAATTGTAATGTATAATATTATAGCGGTAAGATAAGAATCTCTATCGCGGCGGCTACGTGATTTGTTCCTATATAATAGACACCCAAAGACACATAAACACGAGCACGTTGCTCTCCACACAGATCTGGTCGTGTGGCAGCAATTCTCGCGGGAACCCGCTTGGCTGCCCCGCGGAGGGCTTTTTTCCAGGAACTACTTTACTTTTCGTCTCGCAACGAAACAGAACGACGGACGTCAGTGGTGCCCTCTGTTACAAGACCGCAAGGTACTTGATAGCACGTTGATGTACTCATCCCACACACATATATATATATATGAACTATTAAGGCTGTGCTGGCGCTCAAGTCACGTCTTTCACCTCTTCTACCCCCGAGCTGGCAAGAACCAATGACACGACGGCTGGCAACCCCTCGTTGTTCCTGTAGTATCGAGAACGGCAGAACACGACGGCAGCTCAACAGATGTGAACCTCTATGACACAATGTGTCTGCATCTATACCAAGAATAGCAGATGCAGACGGAAGTACATGCGTAGATAGCTCATCAGCAACGGTAACTACACACTCAGACATGGGGCAGTCATAAATGAATGTGGGGTTTAGACAGATAAAGAGAATCAACCCATCTACGTACCCATAAAAAGAAGACACATATCCATTTCAACCTAAGATAGCGTTATTAGCGAGAGCGACAAGAGGAATCACTGTCCATGTACCTAGACATAGTCGAATGGAATGGGACTGTAATTAACTTATGTTTTATGAAGAATTCTTAGAAAGTTGCCAACCCACTCTGCCCCTTGCCAAATGACGGCAGCGATTGATGATCGATATGTCGCATTTGCTTTGTCTCGAAAGACCAATAAACGGTAAGAAAATAGTGTCTAAAAGGTATGAAAGTGAGCTGTTGTGTGCCTAACTATCTGACTTTTGTGGAAAAGCGTCGCTCAAACTGGGAGCCAAACTTCCAAGTTCTAATAGTTCAACTCAAGGCTTGGTGTCGCCTGGCATGACAGGGATCGTTAAGCAGACGGGGTGTGATTGTATTTGTGCTGGCCAAACATGGTAAAACACAGAAGACGAAATGATGTAAAGAACTTAAGAAGTGATTAAAAATTTCTAATGACTGTGAATCGGGCACATTTAGACTAATAGTTTTGTTATTGGGCCTTGTAATATTTCACATAAAAATCTATGAAAAAAATCGTCATCCGATAAACTCTTTCAATTGTACATAAAAATGTCTTTATCTTGCAAATCTATCCAGTGATTCTTATAACTTACTGGAGAGATTTAAATTTGCGTTATGGATGTTAAGTACAAGTCGAAATTACCTTCGCTACAAGTCCTGATTTAGGTCCTTGTCCACAAACTAGAGGTAAACATTTTTGTGTCATACATAAAAACGATATATACGAAAGCTTACTCTAAAAAGCCGACAACATTATCGTCCGTAGGTCATGAAAGAACTGCACCTGGAAAGGTCATGGCTACCCTAGGCATAGGTGTAAATAGAAATGTCTGATACATAATTTTTTTTTCACTCTTATCAAATGATTACGCGCCTGCGTCATCGGAAGCTCCTTCATAATTTGGATCTTCAAACCAGCAGATAAGCGTCTAGCTATATA